TTTCATGGTACTGATCGATCTCGACTGCAGAATCTCACACAACACTTGAGACCAATCTGGCGAAATGAAGGAACTGGAGCTCCTCAACTCGTGGCATGGTTGTGCTGCTCCACTGGAATTCGGATTGAAATCCAGATGACTGAAAATGACACAAGATGTTACCACTGAAAACAGTGAACAAACAGAATTAGTAGTTTGTTGGCATGTGCTTAGTGATCACCACGGAATGAGCGGTATGCTACTCTATTCACATTTTATTCCACTGATCGACACATTGGCCGCTGACATGGAAACAACTCGTATAAGCACTTGAACCAGTACCATCAACATGCAGTTCGTCAATGCTTATAGTTCTCGCCAATCCACCGGACCTTATCCAATGCAAATCTAACAGCTCATTCTGGTTACTCGTATTGAATGCCGCAAACACTTGGATTGCATATTTTCCGCATAAGGCTATATTTAATAAATTCATCATCTGTTGTTTCGTCTACCGAAGTTGCCTTAAACAGGAACACCGAGATTTTCCGTAGGCGACATCATGCTACGATCAGCAGTTGTTCAGACACGATTAATCACACAATTGATCGACAGCCAAAAGACGGAACAAGCTAAATGACATATTTCAACCCAAGCATTGAAAGTGTGAGCTAGTAGCCGAAGCCGAAATGTGCACTTCACAACAAATAAGAATCAACGCACGAAAAATGTGGTATAGCTCATTTGGCGTTTGTTGCGCGATTCGTGTTACAAGGCACCAAAATAGCCGATGTACGCAGAGGTGGTCTCCTGATTTTTTCGCAGTACAAACTCAATAATGCATCAATTCAACAACATTGTCATTAACTGAATATGGTGTAGTCCAAAATGCATAGGTCTGGCTTCTACTACTCACCGTCTCTATATACCATTTAGCCAGCAGCGCATGAAAGTTGTTCATCAGACCCATACCGACTCACCTGGTTAATGAAAAGGACACAGATCCAGTGAACTATAACCAAACGATGCAGCAAATGCTTTTGCCGCCCGGAGCGGTCGTAAGATTTTCGCCGTTACTCCCAAGCAGTTGCAAATGCGTAAAACCTCGAAATTGGGAACAGCCCTTGATTATTTTGTTCATAGAACAACACAAACAACAACAGCCAGCAACGATGTGTTAAATTGCCGCTGTAAGTACACGCTTTTGTAATAATACGCGACTCGAGTACGAACTTTACAAATAAAAGTTTCGTCCTATACTTGCGGCAAAATTATCGCTAACATTATCAATGTTCAGTCCATCGGCAATTTTTCTCTCATTGGAGAGAACAGCCAGGTTCCTGAGTCTTGTTTGGTTCCTTGCTGATGGAAGCTTGAGTTTTGGGAATGAGCGTTCATAAGTGGTAATCCCATTAGCTCACGTAAGAATTTTAAATGTTTTATAACTGTGATTTAAGTAAAATAGCACAGTGTATTCATTACTTTTTTTGCAATTATCTGTCATTTTGTCAACCCAGACTCTCAAAGTTAGTTTGCTACTAGCCATATGGTCAAGTAGAAGCTTTGACTCTGGGACATTACAGGATTCTCGGCAGGCTCGCTGGCCGCTGGTTATGCGTTGGATGACCATGCTTAACCATCGGACATTTGGCGGTGAGCGCATTGTCATCATTCATGGGATGAGATGTGTTCGGAAACTGAACATTTACTCCGTGTCCCTGAGTGTAACAACTTTGTGCGTTCTTCCCGGCCATGCACCTGAAGATTGCACTAACTAGGCAACAATCGTCAAACATGTATTTGATGGAAATTCGGGAACGGTTAATACCAACTAAAGCTTGGTACAGCTTCAACTTTTGCCGCTACTGTCCGTTAAATAATACTAGCAGCAATAATAGCATTAGATCCCAGGAAAGCCTAACAGGGGAAATGAATATCTAAGGAATGTTGCATTAGAATTGATTAGTGTTCGATTGTCGAAAGTACATGCCCAGCAGCAAACAGCGAGGAACCACTAAAGCAGCAAGTAGACTTCTGCAAAGTGATACTGTTCACAGTTGCGTACTTCCTCCTTTTGTTATTTCTGAACGTCAGCAATCCCACAAAATCTTAACTTGCGAACGTTCAAATTCATCATGGAAAGCACTTATTGGAGATTGTCTATTGTGCTTCTTAGGTAATTTGACCATAAGCTCATTTACCTTTTTGTTGTTAATACTTTCACTCTAACACGGCCACACCGGGAAAGGCGAGAAGACTAACCACACTATGTCAGCTGACGGGGACTGCACTGGGTGTTGCACAAACGCTCACATCGATGCCAAAATTCCCCGCTTGGTTCAGTGAACACTACATTAAAAAACGGAAACCTACTTCGAAACATTAGTTGTAAATAATCAAGTAACCTAATCCGACTTTCTTTCGGAAGATGAGGAAACATGCTCGTTATAAATAATGTACTTCACCATCAGTTGGGCTAAACCAACTTACACTTAAAATAGGTTTGTTAAGCTGGATAAATTTCATTCCACTTTATTTGTTTTGTTCTGCCAACCTGAATAATGTTCTATTAACTGGCCACGTAACTTGCGCTAATTGCGCTTATCTTCGATAACTTTGTTGCGTTTGCAGCACTTTTAAGTAACTTGTGCAAACAAATTTCGCAGCTCCGCGAACAAATGAGCAACTAACCTGTGGACAATTTACTTATCGCCAATTCGCTGCTAACCAACTTACTTCATATGCTAATTTAGCGAGGAGTTATGCCACCGTATCTGGATGCATTATAAGATTTATTTTATTTCATCTTGTCGTTTCAAGTGATTACCTGTTGCTTGATATTCCCGGTGTGGCTGCGCTTGAGGGACATGTTGACAAGGTGCCCACCTGTCTATTACCCACTACCTCGTCCATACTGCCTCCAGGAGACAGTTGGTCGTTACTGAAGGTGCACGGGCATTGTGGCCGTGATAGGCCTGAAGAGCGGCTCCATGCACTCAGTGTGGAGCGGACTGCGGTCCAGCCACCGCCTTGAGTGCGTTTGATTCCCAAAATACAGCGTGCTTGTGTTTGCCTGTGAAGGGGTGTTGGCCGGCTCGTTGATGAAACGTGGCTCCCATCCAAATGTCTCTCGGTCTTATTCCTGCAGAGTTACACTGGATATGGCGTGTGTGGATGGAGCTGTGGTTGGTGCAACGCAAGCCGCACATGATCGCTCTGTAGGCACAGGCGTCCTGTGGCTGGCCACAGTGACAGGCAAATCCGAAACCGGATGCCGCCAAACAACTTCACCATCAACGTTGTAAGCACTAAGTAGTAGCCAGGTACAAAATCCCACTCCAAAATGAATCGACTCCAATGAGAAACGCTAGTGAATTGTGTTCACCAGCTTGAGCTTCAGCACTGTGCTTGGCAGTCACCTTAAGAAAACCATGTCTGGATGCGTCGTTTTGAACAGCGAACGAGGAATTTAGCTTAAGAATACTCAGATCGAGTTCTCTGCATTGTAATCAACGTGCTAGAAAGGCCGAATTACAAAGAAGATCGCGTTGAACGAACTAGTGCAAACTGTATCACTCACGTGCGGCAACTTCATCTTATGATCTAGGTATAGACAAATTCGATCAAGAATTGCAACTGTGAGGGCGTTTCACCGTATAAAAGTCTAAACATTTGCCTGATTGCTGTAGTCGATTTGAAACTCCATGACACCATAAGCAGTATAAAACAATGTCAGAGTCCTACCACATGGCTAACACAACATCTTAACCTACCACCTGTATACCTTTTTAGGCAAAAGTGTTACATTATTCATGCTAGTATGCCATCAAGACCAATTTTTGTTCCATCACTGAAATTCGTTACGTCGGCTTACAGATTCATCCACCTAATTCAATATTGGGTAATTGTGTACACTCACGGTGGCGCAGGCGTGTCCAATTTTCTCTTGCTCCAGGCATGCCACTATTTGCGTTTACCCTGTACGTCCTTCCAGCTAATCACAATCAGCCTTCAGTGATCTTGTATGAATGTCCGAAGTTGAAACAGTGGGTTGATCACAGCGCACCCTGGAATGACGTGTCCTAGTTGTGCGATGTGGTATTTGATAGGCGATTTTTGGTTTGCACTCAATCTTCAACTTTGAAGACTTATTCACTGAGTAAACATCCACCCTGGTAGGGTAAAACCTCTGGTATGCAACAAACTAATGCACAACACATGAATTAAGCATCTACTCGTTGAACAAAAGTGGTATGTTTTTCGCTTGCTCACCTGACGAAGATACGTAATACTCTCTCGGTCTATGGGAGTACATTTTCAACACACAACCACAAGCGTTCGGTCTCTCGAAATACGCCACAGCTAACGTTTCTTGGGCAACGATGTGCCTCAAGAAGCTGTGCAACTAAGACATTACCTGTAACCGGAAAACACTTTAGTGCCAGCAACAAGTGTCTTGCGATTTTTCCTATCTACTCGGATGGTATTTGAACTAGGGCTGTACAATGCACGAACAGTATACCTAAGTACTCCGGACTTCAGGTTTTAATTCATACCAGGATTCCATTGTAATTTTGATAGTGACGCAAAATTCCAAACCTTATCCTGCCATGTTCCGAAAATTACCCAAAGTAATCACGTCCTTGATTACTCTTTCATTCTCAATATTTTGGTTGACCAATCTATGGCAACGGAAATCAAATGAGCTTTCATAAAGTCTCACTGTTTTAGCGGAAACCATTAATTAAGCATGCATTCGAGCAGCTAGCATCTCAAAAAACTGCCTGCCCCAACCCGTCCAGAATACTCGCATCGATAACGGAGACACAGTCGTTGTTCGTTGTCTGCTTACGTGTGTGTAAGCTGCTGCAGGATCACATCGTACGCTCAGCCAATCACGTGTCCAAACTCAAGATTCTTCGGCCTATAGGAGAGCCAAGGTCATTCAGCGGGGGCGGAACTGGTTTGCGGTGGCAATCGAATTCCTGTGAAAACAACATTCCAAAAGCAACGGAATAATAGCTACACTGACTTGACCGTGTCACCGTTTTGCGCTTGCGTGTGATTCAGAGGTTGAGTTCTACCCTGGTGAGTCCACTACCACATCAGCTTCCATATATTTCTACTGCGCTCATTTCATGAGTTCAGTGTTTAGCGAAGACGAATTACCAATTCATGGTAAGAAAGCCCTTTTCACTTTGAAGATATTTGGAATGATATTAAATCACCCCTACCTCCTTGGTTTGCTAAAACTGTTCATATCTCGTGAAAATTTATCTGCAGTCCTCCAGTTCAGTGGTCCTACTTCGCTAAATGCGGAGTGTATAATCCGGTCAAAAATTCACCTGTACTTGAGAGTTTTCTAGGCAATTATTAAGTAAGAAGTTTGGATGACTTGTGTCTAAACATTTTGAGGGACGTGAATGCTTCTATACGGTATTCTGATAACGCATGATTGGCAGTCTGATATCGCCGGTTCAATCAAGGGGCGAGGTGGACACACATTGAAGCAGGTACACGAATATGCTCACGACAGATATTCTTAATGTATGCTACTGTCCACCACACATCCATTGGCCCCGACGCGATCTGTGCAATGGTGGACAAGAATAAATCTTCGGATATGTCGCGAATTACAGGGGATTCGTCGCACTTCTTCACTACTCAAGGTGATACATTAGAACTCCGGAGTAACCAAGGACTGGGTATGGTTTGCTACAGTGGGTGCGCTGACCGGTATACTTGTTCAGCCCAAATCCACTGAGCGCAAGCTGACATAGAAGGCGAGATTCGTATACCCACCAAGTGAGGCATTTTCAGGAATATTAATTCGGACACTAGCTATTGCTTGGTTAGTCTACCAATCACCACCTTAAGTTAGTGCCATCCGGAACACTACATGTAGATAAAATCATCCGAGCCACAGCCGATCTGTTAAATTTATAATGCCAGTTGTCTGGCTAATTCTGGTGGTCATTTGAACACAGTAAAAGTCATAGCCCACTTGCAAGGAAAAGTTTGCACTAAAACAATCCCACTAGCAGTACGGTAATCGAAAGTTTTATTTCATCCTCGTCGTTTTTGTCTAGTGTATTTGTAGAAACAAGCTAGAACGCAGGATATGCTTCCGCTTTAATTTAAGTAAACACTAACAAAAATCGGCTCATCAGATACCTATATTTGTATACTTTAAGAACCAGGTAGAGTAAGGGGGAATGTAACGTTTGCTTAACGTGATCGCCCGCAACACGCCTTCTTGTGGGAGCCAGTAGTCGTTTAACCCAGATCGAACCTACTTCTCAACGCAGAAACGATGTTTTGTGCTTTTACACAACGTAGGTTATGTAACACTGCATCCATTGCCTTGCGGTTTTCCACGATAACGCTGGAGGATGAAAATTTGCAGATGCACTCGTTTAGGTATGGAGGTTTGTTTTACCGCGAATATACACTCAGCATCAAGGGACACTGCCATTGACAACCCTACATTGTTTACTGAATTAATGCAAATCAATGGTACAAGTTGATTTTTACCTGTTCTAACTAAGGAATCGAACTAGACAGTTAACAAATGTGCTGTTCGCGTGGCCCGTGCACATTGGACTTGTCTTAGTCCAAAACTGTACAAGTGCTAGTAGCAAAAATGAGTGTCCATTCTGAATTGCAATCAGTTCTGTGAAACGCGGTGTGTAGGGAACCAGAAGCACTAGTTTTTCACCCCATCGATATGTGTGGGAGAATCGCGAATGCTAGCAATCAATGGTAGGATATCGTGACTCCATTTGACAAACATTCACTGGTGTCAAAAATCTTGTGCATCGGGTTTCAGCTGAGTGCGGTGATTGATAGCATTCACGCCAATTTTCATTTATCCGCGTTTCAGGAAATCTAATCTTCCTGCTTCCGTCGCCTGATGGTAAGGCTTAAAATAGAGATGCAGAAACCCGAGACCCCATTCATTGTCCAACCAGTTCGAAATCACAATTATCGTCAAGAAATTTTAAATTAATCCAGTCTTGCGCAGGTTGCAATGCAGCAATTTCAGCGCAGCTTTCAGTCACTGACCTAGCTACCTATGGTTGGGTGTTTCTTCTTCCAGTTCTTTTAAAAGGCACGGAGGCTATTATGGTTGGCGCACTGACGTCTTACCTAGACGAAGCTGGCTACACCGCGCAACAGCAACAACACTCACCGGTACCGATCGTGCACTACTAAGCTACTGTTGCACGGGACAGTCGGACCGAAACTGTGGATGTTAGTGTATGAGGTGGTGTTGTATACCTCGATTTTCCTAAGCCATTCGACTGACTGAAGCGTTGCATCCTTCCAGCCAAATTCAGGGACACGGCATTGCTGATCCCTTCCCAGGGTGGCTCAGTAAGTTCCACTTTCTCAGGCGTCTAGAAGTGAAAGTTCTCAAAACCGTATCAAACCTTATACCAGTGGAATGCCGTGTCGCACAAGGTTCCGTATTGGGACTCTGTCTGTTCTTGATTTTCATTAACGGCGACATCAAATTTAGGCGGTCGATCAAAATTCCAGACGACGGCACACAGCTCTGGCACGACATCGACAAGATTAATGAATGGTCAGTTCACACTTCTTTTCGGTTCAACGTGACTAAATGTCGAGTACTCCACCTACGACATTAAATGTTGCACACTTACAAGTTGGACGACCAGGATCTCCAGCAGCGTTCTAGTGAAAAACATCTCCGTGTAATGATCCGAGAAGACCTTGGTTAATCAGAGCAATCTGAACAACATTAAAGAAGGACATCAAAAAGTTGGGAGTCTTAAAGATAGCTTTTTCACTTCGACCAATTTATTTTCTCCATGACCCTTTTTGAGTTACGTGCGTACGTGGAAGATGCGATTCATGCAGGGCAGTCATGACTGAAGCGGGATCTCACGGTCTTGGGAATTCCCCAATATCGAGCCACCAGCAACATCAAGCGGCTATACCACTTACCTTATTAACAGCTCTTGAGTATTTTGGGAGTTTTCGGTGGATGTTGTCGGCGTCTGAACGATGATCTTGTCATATTTTACCAAATCTTTAGTAACCCAAACCACTCGTGCTTGGCCAAAACAACAGGCTGGGAGGGCACCGTTTTAAACTGGCTAAATAATACACTCGGCTGGAGTGCAGATGGATCTACACGTTACGTGTTTGTCACATATGAAATTCACTCCCGGAACTTGTCATCCGATCCCCTAGCTTAACTGTGTGGAAACATGGTGTCCAGAATGCGCTGGTCGCGTTACACCACATCAAATAACACACATGAACCGTAGGCACAATCAGAAAACAACACCACATCAACGCACACCCATTGTCCTGGGACAAACAAAGGCAGCGACATTTCAATTTGTAGAAAACCATGTGTGAAAGCTTCAGACGGACAAAATTTTGCTCCGCACATTCACTGTCTTCTGTTGTTCTATGTTTACGGTTGGTTTCTCTTTTCTCAACCCTAGTTCGCCATCTTGCAGGATATGCTAAGCTTAAGTTTTATAGCCACAACACACCACTGACCAGTGTTCGCCGTCGCAGGGTCTGTAGTGGGTGATGTTTTGTTTGCATTTGATCACCCATTTCCATTAGCCTCGCAAATGCTCGAGGTTGGAAGGAAATTGCTGGGCTTATTACCGAGCAACTTTTGGTCTGTTCTGCTTACGCAGGCATCATCATCAACATGGTTTGACCGACGAACCTTGACAGAAATTCGTACTCTTTGTTAGATTGAGAATTTTCGGCTTTACTCGCTTCTAGCACGAAACTACAGCACCTGTTTTGTCCATGACTGTATTCTTCATGCAGCAATAACACTAGGTGGGAATGTTCGGGATGTTGCAGTTAGTGACTGACACCATGATCACCAAGCCACCGGAATCCGAACGCAAATGGATTCATAGACAGCTGAAAAAATACAACGTAGTAAACGTTTTGTTCGGTTATGAAGTAACTGCTCCTTTTTTGGATAGTGGCACGTCAGCTCAGACCGCATCACGGTTTCCTTTGAATTACAATTCAACCGGTCGCGTAAGTTTTGGGAGATTCGAGGCTGCTCGCTTCCAACATACGGTGCACACTTCAACCATCAACCGTTAACCTCCAACCCTTATGAAAATCGTCACTGATAAGTTTAGTGGTCCAATAATCAATGCTTCGACAGCAAACGAATACGTGCAGAAGCCATTCACAAATGCTGGAAACCCGAACAAAGACAAAGCCAATGTCAAACTCTTGGCAGTGTGGGATCGATATCAAATCCAGATATCCAAATCGTAACAAAGTGCTAAAGGTCACGATATCAAAATTTACTACGAGAAGCGGAGGTTTCTTTCTAATCCACTGCTCAAAGATTTGAAACAAACTTCCGAGATATCAGAACATGTTGTGCACTGCGCAATTTTACGCTTGCGATTAGTAGACAGTTAACTGTCCAAAACGCTTTCGAGAACGGTATGGAAGGTGCCCAAATAAATCTTGAAAGCACGCACATATAACTTTTGGAACCACAGCCCCTTACATTTCATTTCATTTATTTCTCGGCCCAAACATCTGTTCTGTGTCTGTGAAGAACACTGGTTAAACGATAGGTGAAAAAAACAGCAGAACAATTCTGCTTACTTTGTATTGCGTAACTTTGAAATTTGCGCCTGTTTATTTTTAAAGAGTCATTGCTGCAAGGGCTTGAAAATGATGTAAGAAGAGTTGACCTGTTCCCTCTCGGGAACAGCTTCTCGTATTGTCAAGGGGTATACAATTGCTTTATTTATTAGTAATATAATAGTAATGTATTTAGCTACTTATGGCTAACTTAAGTGTGAACCTTGAACCAACTTGAGATTTCTTGTCGTAGGCAGTGCGCGCTGCTGGTATCTCAAATACCGACGCTGACTTCTGCTGTGTTGCTACGGTACAGCGGTACGATGAAATCGCGTTAACTAATTCCAGTGTCCAGTTAACTTGATCAACTGCTCTGTATGAGTTTGGGTCAATGTTCTGACCATACTGAGCAGAAACAGGCTCACCTGCGCCTTTCCTCTGTAAAGGGGTAATATCATATATGACAATGCTTA